AGGAGGGTCCTGATGACATCTGTTAGGGAATCCGCAATGATATCAGTCGTACAAGATCTCCCGTTCAACACATTATACAGTAATACACACGAGTGTTATGATCGTGTTCCATGCCCTCCAAGTCAGGCCTTCGCTGAGTTTTGTCTTTTCATCGAGCTTGACCACGATGAGGTCGAACGAGGTGACGATCGGTGAATCTAAGTTTTTTTCTCCACTTGTTGGTTTTTGTGGAGAAACCCCATAAACACCCAGTGGGAACTTTGTGGAATTGATTTCCTTTATGTTCCTTGCTAGGGTCCGGTCGTCATCAAGTGTGGGGAACGCGAACGAGGCATCGGTGGCCACCTGCCACTCATTGAATTTCTCATGAACGCACGAGGATCAGCAGCCGAACCACCCTAATGGTCTTTCGATCCGTGTTTGCTAATTTGGTGATGTGGGGAACCTTGCCTCCCGCGATCATTTAGACTGTGATGAATTTATCCTGTTGTTCTTTTTTGTAGTCTTGGGTTTGATCGAATAGTCATTTTGTTTGTTTGCCACTGTTGCAATCTCTTGGGTGAGTCGACGTTGTTCATTCTTTTTGTCTGCTTTGTCTCTGGGGGGTTCCCTTGTCCTCTTGTCTATGCCTCTCAACGGTTTCTGGTTCCTTGAAACATACCGCGGATGAAGTCTGCTGACGTTGAGGGTCGAACCCTATACCAACCCCCGCTCCTGCAGATTCTCTCTTTTTTTTTCTCGTGGTATCCTAACGCACTAAACTCTCGGAGTTCGGATTTTTGGCGCAACGCGGCAACGGGTCATAGTAGCTTTTGGAAGACGGGATCTCTGCCACTATCTTGCCCGTGGTTAGCATGCTCTCCCAAAGTCTTATGCATACGAGTTTGTCGTCGAATTCCTTTTCCCGCTCGTACTTCGCTTTCCGAAGGTATTCCCCGAGCCAAGGGATGGGGCTCGCTGTGTTTGGCGAGATCTCCATTCCCATCCGGGAGTCTGTAAAGGGATTCGTGTCTGATGACTCTGATCCAAGAGGGGTGTGGCATGTGGGAGGTTGTTCGGAGCTGATGATTTTCCCTGATCCTTCGTCGGTTGCTCTTTTTTCCCCCCCTGCTTTGTCCTCTTGGTTCTTGTTGGGGTGAGCGGAGGCATTTCGTTTGAGAGCGGAAACGATCTCTAGCTTGGGGTGACAATGTTCTAGGATTTGTTTTGCTTCATGGAACAGGGTGTTGTTGCAATGTTGTGTAGATTTGTGTTCTGGCATGTTTTCGCAGTCTGGATCCTGATCGTCTTCATGTCCCACAACAAATCCTTATGCTTCTTCTCTTCTCTAATTGCGCGTGGGTCAATGACCGGGTCTGTGTGAATTTTCCTTGGTATTCCAGTTACCTTTTTGGCTCCCATTGTGTGCCATCTGCTGTTTGAGGGAGGGAACACATCGGGTTGCTTTGTTGTTGGGTTGGACTTGTTGTACGTCCATATCCATTTCGGCTCCTGGATGGTGTTGTTGAAGACCCACTCATCGTAGTCTTGGTCGTTGATGAACCAGACACTCTTTGCTTCTTCCACTTCCACCATCATGCTCTGTTTCATCTTTTTTTCTTTCGAATGTTCAGGGGACCATCGGCAGAATGGGTTAGTGCCCAGGTGACCTCTTTCACTACACCTAGAGTAGATGCAGGCGTCTTTTGTTGAAACTGTGACTATGGATGCTTCGTCACCAATGCAAAATTCCCATTCTTCAGGGAATTTGGGGTCCGTCTCAGAGTTCACTTCCAAAACTGTAGTGATGGAGTCGCAATGAAGGGGCCAAAAATTCTGGCGTTGTGAGGACCCATTTCAGCACGCTGTTGTTCGGATACTCTACCTCCAATCGGTCTTTGATCAGACCCAAAATTGGTCCCTCATGAGTCACTATTTTTGTGTTGCTGCCGACGAAATTGTGGCTTTCTAAGCCGTTTTGAGTTTCCATCGGGACAGGGTGCACATTGAGAAACTGCAGTTCAGTGTGGTGTGCCTGTTTTTCAAGTTGGATGCCTGATCGGGATCTTTGAAAACCACCATCATCATGTTGAACGTCTTGCTCAATACTAAAATTGAGAATTTGTTTGTGCTGGTCTTGATGTTTTTTTTTACCCTGGATCGTCATTGTGAGTCATTTCCTCTTCTCAATTGTTAGGATGCGGGCTCCTGTGTTGGAGAAGGTGAACACCAGGCCATGTTTGGCGTACAATGCGTTGGTTGAGGGGATTGTTTCTTTCGCGTAGCACCACTCCATTGCTTTTTTCTCTTCCCTATTTTGCTGAATCTTCTTTGTGATTTTCTCTCCTTTGATTTGTGGGGATTCCACGAGGAACCGGAGTTTCTTGTGGTCGACGAGGGGTCCGTTCGACTGTGTTGGGGTCTTGCCTGCATTTTGTGATTTGCCCACTACGACTGAGGCAAAGTGACGTTCGAAGGTCACTGTCGTGGCCATGTCGGCCAGAGGTTGTGATGGTGTGGCACGGTCGGGGTAGGGGGGGGAGAAGACGGGGGGTGACCGGGGGATTGGGTGTTGTTGTTGGTGTTGACAATTGTCTTTGTTGCTCATTCAAAAGGGCGCGGGGGTTGGTATGGGCGGTGGAGGGCCTAGTCGGGGGCCATCGGGTGGGGGGTCCTGTGTGGAGTGGCCGAGTCCTTCTTTTCTTTTTCCTTTTGTTTCATTTTTAACTTGCCCTTTCGGTCTATTATGTCGGGTGTGAATTTCCTATCTTCTATTTCAAACAAGCCCTTTTTCTGGAGTATGTGTTCTTGGGAAGTTAAGGGTGGCTGCAGCTGCTCACACCTTGTGTACGTGGAAAGTTGGGCTGCATGCATGGGCATATGTGGGTATGCCCAACACAGGAATCGGGTTAGGTTGGTGTAGGGGGGGGCAGTGGTGATATTGGAGGTTGAGGTTGGAGTTTTGGGGGGGGGGTTGGGTGATGAACAAGCGTGGGTACGTGGGCACCTAGATGAGTGAGACTCGCTTTGGGATGGAGGCGGGAGAAGGGGGTTGGATCGCCGGGGCTTGTCGGACAAGGGAGACCGGCTGGATCTGGTTGGAGGGGGGGGAGGGGGGTTGGGGAATTGATGAAGCCGTCAGGTGGATATGGTCGGAGGACTACTTGTTGAGGTGGCAAGTGGATGGACATGGAGAGAGCGAGAGTGTTAGTACCGTACTTGGTAGGCGGTTGGGAAGAAGGGAGGTGGCAGCGGGGGAGGGGATATGATAGGGGAGGAGGGAGGAAAGGATAGGCGGACACAGTGCTCGTTGCGAGATCAATGATCGCGGCGGGGTAGGAGCTTGGAAAGAGAGTATTGAGATGGGTGGGGGTGTCCGGCGAGGGATAGTGCAGGTTCAGAGGTGATGGGGTTGGGGGGGGTACTATGGGGTAGCAAAGGATGGAGTGGGTTGAGGGTGCGTGGCAATTGTTGGGGATGGTGCGGGGGGCTGGAAGTGAGAGAGAGGAGGTGGGGTTGGGAGCTAAGCATTGGGGGCACGAGTGTAAAAGGGAGGATGGAGCTGGACTGCTGTGTGGGGAGAAGGCGACAAATGTGCTGCGGGGTTGTGTCGGGAGCGTTGGGGGACGCGGGCCGGGGGGGGATAGGGTAGTGAGAGAGGGGTTGGGGGTTGGGGGTGGGGGGGGAAGAGAGGATTGATGTCTTTAGGAGGCGACAAGTTTAGTTTAGGGGAGGGAGTGTGTGGTGGACTCGGGAGGGGAGATTCAGGAGAGATAAGTTAGTCATGGGCAGAAAGATAGTGTGGAAAGGTGTGATGGCAGACTTCTCACTTAGTTGTTAATGGTTGATGTCTGTTGTAAGGAAAATGTGTTCCTCGCCTAAATTTTTGGTGCCTTCGCAAATGCCTTCGCAGCGTGTGTCTTGTTCTCTCGCGGAGGCAGCCTTCGGATTGGGAGCTCCTTCAGTCTCTCGATGATTGGTGCCACGTCGACCTATGGCTTGAGGGCTGCTGCAGTTAGTCTGTGTGATGCAGCTGTTGTCGCCTGCTTGACATACAACCGACTTCTACCTGGGTTGCTCGGAGCTGCTTCCAGGACGACCGTTGTGCCCAGCTGCCCTCTTTGCAATGGCGCGCGCGCAGGGAGCACGCTCAGGCGTGGCTTCTTCGAGCGCTCAGGGAACGGGCGTTGCCGCCCAGCTTCGAAAATTCGAAGTGGGGCGTACGCGACGCGCGGGCAGCTGGGTGCGAGGGTGGCGTCGGGTTTCAGTTGGCGTCAGCCCGTCGGGCCTAGGCCGGGCGCTAGCACACCTTAGCGCAGCGCCGGAATTCACGCTAACCGATGGCGCGGGCGCAAGTTCAAACTCAACAATCTTGGACTGGGTGATTCAGACAAAATCGGAGAAGTTATCATGCAATATCTGACTCTGAGACAAACAAACAGATTGAAAATCATCGTAACTCTGCAGCTGAAATTTTCACTGGCCAAATCATTAGAAATATGACATAAGGGACATCAGGCTAAATTTTGGTTCTCAAGCTGCGGAAACTCTCGCACAAGCAGCAAGGAAGAGGAACAGCCCCAAGACGAGGTAATGCCACAACAGGAATGAAGACAATGGTGAAGAATCAAGGAAGGGACAGTGTCGGCAATGTCAGGATGACAACCTCCGGTTCAACACACACACACACACACACACACACACACACACACACACACACACACACACA